ATGTACATGTTTGTATTTTCATTTTTTTTTTTTTTTTTTTTTTTTTAGTAAAATCTTTCATTTTGTAATTCTGACTATACCTTGCAACTTATCAATGCAATTCAAACACACATTCCTGGCTTTAAGTAATAACAATAAGAGCTTAGAAATACTTTTAAAAATAAAAGCACATCTGTATACAGATCATACCTTATCCTATATATTCTATTTGTAAAGGCTTCCTTGCATGATGCTTTTTGGGATTATAAAGGGTTTTATGACTGTTTGGATGATACCAAATACCACACACAGCAACCGAAATGTCTTGCAAGCAGCTCACAGGGATACTTGTAATACCAGGAAGGCACAGGCAAAGGAAAATATAAATATCTTCTGAAACACCAGCAAGTTTTACATTTTTTAAAATATCTAAAATTAACACATGAAAAGCTTCCCTCTTCGGTACACAGTTCTTTGGAGATTCTGCTACATATGTTAAAATGTCTTTGCAAAATAAGATGTTGGAATGTTAAGTTAAAAAGTATGATTTGATGATTAAAAGTTTTTTAAATAATATTTATTTAACTAAATATGAAACGAAATAATTTTTTGTGAAGTCAAGGGAAGAAACTGGCATCTGATAAATCATGAATTCACTGTGCTGATTTTTTTTATAGCAAAAAACATTAGACTATCGTGTATAGCTATGGAGTGATTATTTAAGTTGTGTATGGATTTGTGTATTGTGACACACACATGTTCTCTGTGTATGCTTGGGGCTAAATTTTGCTTTTCTCGTACATATTTATTCCTATTTGAGCATCAGAAGTTAGCCCCTACTCTCTTCTGTCTTGAGTGTGTCGTTCTCTTTAAAACTCATTGCATCTGAGGGTTTTTTTGTGTTTGAACAGCTAATGATTCTCTGCTCATGTATATTTATTGGAACTTCTGTCATTCAGCTTGTATTAGTTCCATGTCTTTCGTGTATTTGCTCTGTAAGCCATGGTGATTGGTCAGTTTGTCACTGAAGCACTTGAAAATTGTTATAAATGGCTGATTTTTTTTCTATTGAAATTATTTACATTCCAGTTTTGTGTAATATCAAAATGGTGTGCTATACCTTTGCTACAAAGTATTATTCATACTGCTCTATATGACAAAAAAGCACTTGCAAATTATATTTGCTTAAAGTACAGTCATTCAAAGTTTAGGTTCCATTTTTCATTATATCATATTTCAGGAAAATACTTGAATACTTTTCCAAAAGTACTGCTGTTTACTTTCCTTATTAATGCAATGAGTTGAAATGTTGATTGATCCAATGTTTTTCAGACATTTGTAATGTGTTATGTATACTGTATTTTTAAAGCCATGTTTAATAAGTGAAATAGTACTTTTGACCTAAGAACCTAATTGAAAACGAGATCATGCAGTTCTACAAATGCAAATATTTTTTGAAAGTGTCATTTGTTTAAAAATTTCTACAGTTCTTTTGGTCTATCCATGAATATTGTGAGAGAACCCAGACTTCAAGTTACTGTAATTCTTGTGCAGGATATGATGGTGCACACTCAGCTCACCAACAGGTGAGGGCATTTATGAGGCGTTACAGCTATCCAGATCACATTCTCATAAATGAGAACAGGAGTAAATACTAACCAGCTCTTTCCATTAGTTTACTACTTGAAAAATGGAGGCTTAATCTAGTTGTGAATGTATATTGAAATGCATTGAATATATTTAATATCTGAAGCTGAGTGCTTGGTGTTTCCAAAGAAAGCCACAATGAAGGCCTCCTTTCTGAGAAACAAGCCACCAGGAAAGGAGAAAAGATCGCTCTATAGTATGGTAATGAAGTGTGAAGTAAATAGTAAAGGTGTTGCAATATAATAAAATGAAAAGGTCTTCGGTAATTGAAAAGCTGCATAGTTGCATTTGAATAATTCTATTTGTAGCATATTATACTAGCAAAGCACCATATGTGAGTTGTATGAAGTGTCCAGTTTATTTTTAAGAAGAGAGCTGCATAATTAACGTCTGCTTACATTTTAATTCTACTTTTTTTTGTTTCTCTGAATGTAGTCTCAGTATGGAAATTATGTATAGGAAAACCAAGTTTGATTTTTCTCTGTTTCCCAATCTTGCTGGCTTCAAGATTAGAAAATGTGTTCTGTTTTATGATGCTAGGGCATTTCATTGAAAAAATAAAATTATGTCATACAGCAATACAGTGGGTTTCTTCTTTTCACAACTTGATTGGAAAAAATACCTACCTTTGTTTGGCAGAAATCTGGCAGTAGTGTGCTTGGTGTAACCAATGTGGGCAGATTAAACCAGGTAGAGAAGTAATTCATAAGCTTCCCTTTGGGTTGACCACAGCTTTGTAGCGAGTGTGAGTGTGGACAAACACTGAGAGTGAAGGAAAGCGACCAGTGAAGCTGGACTTGCACTAAAACTAAGCAACTCTACCAAGGTAAACTAAAGATTGAAGCGGGGAGAAGAAACTTAGTTTGTAATGCAAATATGTAGAGTTACTTATTACGGAAGAATCTAAACTACAAAAAGTGAAAGAAAACTACTGTTCTAAGAAGCATGAAATATGTATTACACTATAAATAGTGTGTATAGTAAATAGATGGAGCTTTTTAGAATTTCATTGCAATTAATATTACAGTTGCAGTACAAAATAAGTAAAACATGTTCGTTGTAGATGAAGAGTGGGCACAGGAGAAGGTGCTTTTCAGCACTGTAGAGATGACTGCTTTTGAAGTGTGTTGGGTTTACGTGGCAAGGTTTTAGTCACTGGGGGTGCTGCATGGGTGGCTTCCATGAGAAGACACCAGAAGCTGCCCCGATGTCGGACAGACTCAGTTCCAGCCGGCTCCAAGATGGAGCTGTCGCTGGCCAAAGCTGAGCTGATCGGTGACGTTGGTAACACTTCTGTGATAGCATGTTTAAGAAAGGGTAGAAAATGCTGCACAGTGGCTGTGAGGGGAAAAATACAGAAACAACCCTGCAGACACCAAGGTCAGTGAAGAAGGAGGGCAGGAGGTGCTCCAGGCACCGGAGCAGAGATTCCCCTGCAGCCCCTGGTGCAGCCCCTGGTGAGGCAGCTGTGCCCCTGCACCCATGGAGCTCCATGGGGGAGCAGATCTCCACCTGCACCCGGGGAGGACCCCACGCCGGAGCAGGGGGATGTGCCCCAAGGAGGCTGTGACCCCCTGGGAAGCCCACGCTGGAGCAGGCTCCTGGCAGGAGCTGCAGACGTGGAGAGGAGCACAAGCATGAGCAAGTTTTCTGGCAGGAATTGGTGGCCCATGGGGGACCCTGCAGGAGGAAGGAGCGGGAGAGATGAAGTGTTACAAACTGACCACAACCCCCATTTCCCCTCCTGCTGTGCTGCTCAAGGGGGGGGAGGAGGTGGAAGAGTCAGAGTGATGTTGGGCCTGGGGAGAAGGCGGGTTTAGTTTTGGTTTTATTTCTGACTATCTTACTCTGGTTTTAAATGGCAGTAAATCAATTTAATCTTCCCCAAGTCAAGTGTGTTTTGCCCCTGACTGCAATTGCTGAGTGATCTCGCTGTCCTTATCTCGACCCATGAGCTTTCCATCGTATTTTCTCACCCTGTTCTGCTGAGGAGGGAGAGGGACAGAGCGGCTGGGTGGGCACCCCACTGGCAGCCAAGGTCAACCCACCGCATGCAGTTGTGCAACAAGACAGTGTTCGCAGGGATGTATTACGGCGTGAATGGGAAGATGATATGTAGAATAAGAAGTTTCTCTGAACGCCTCTGTCTTGTAATTCAAGTATTATTTCCCTAGAACTCCTGTCTTGATCCCTGTGAAGTAAATGAGCAATAGGAATTCATCATTTTTATTCTCATTAGTCACATTGCTCTTATTTCAAATTTTCAATAGGATAGTTAAGTACATTTAATAGATTCTAACTGGTGCTTAAGTTGCAGTAAATGAGTTCTGTCCATAATGAAGTGACAGTCTCTCCAGACTTCTGTCTTACCCACCGACATGCACATGACGTACATCTTGCAAAGGCTTATGCATGTTCTTAATTAGCGTCGCTAGTCCCATTAATTGGAAGGGGGTGGGGCATTCGTTCTGCAATTGGTCATGCCTTTCAAATCCTCTGCAATGAGAGGATTAACATTTTTTTTAATTCTGTTTCTTACTGTTTAGAAATTATTCCTAATATGTACCAAAATTGCCAAGACAACCAAGAGGCTGTCTTCAAAAGATGTTTGCTCCTTTAAGACTCCTACATGTCCGAAAGGGGAACTTGCTCTTGTTGGTAGCTATTTCACCTAAAGTGCAGTTTTGTGCCCTACTTCATAGCAATTCTCCAGCCATAAATAAAATGAATAGGTTTTTTTCTCTTTTTTTTTTTTTTTTTTTTTGCATGTACAGAAGACGTCAATAGTGTAGAACAGGAAAAAATAGAAGGGGAAAAATAATTATTCATAAAGGAAAAATACTGAAAGAATAACAGAAGTGATGCAAATTAAAAAATCCATGGAGACCAAATTCTGGAAAGGATTGAAGAGAACAACTGCAAAACAAATTTTAAAAAGAAGAAAAATAGAAGAAGAAATAGGAAAACAAAATACAGACTTTTTTAAAAACTTATTTTGCTTGAAAGCATTGCCCAGGCATGTGTACTTTAACTGCACAGTAAAGCTAGCACTAAATGTTTCACTAGATTGCTAGAAGTTTGACTATTTACAACTGGTAGACAGAATGAAAGCTTTATCACTGTTGTGAAGATGTATTTCTAAAAAACTTTTGGGTCATGCACTGTATCTCTGCTCACAAACTTTACCAGAATAAGAGCATTGCTAGAAGAGGTGTTAAAGGAGAATTGTAAAAGCAGCTTCCTGTAGCAATGTGCAGCATTCTGAAATTACTGTTCAATTTAATCTGCCAAATATTTCTTTTTCATGTTAATATTTAGCAGCTGTATTTTAGGAAGGGGGA